AGCGACACACTGCGTTTACACCAGCATGTTTCGCGCTCCCCAGTGGCGGAAAGCTCTTTCCCGTATACTACATTTGGACTACAAAGGCCACGTCTGAGTCCAGCTCCAAAACCGTTTCGTACGAGACCTCCTCCAAAAGTGAAGCGCCAAGTCTCCAAAACGAGCGTTTCGCCAACAGTCTCCAAAACCCGTGTTTCGTACGAGACGTCCTCCAAATTAAATGTGATGCGCCAAGTCTCCAAAACGAGCGTTTCGTACAAGACTTCCTCCACAAGCGAAGCGCCAAGTCTTCAAAACGAGCGTTTCGTACGAGACTTCCTCCAAAAAAAGTGAGGCGCCAAGTCTCCAAAACGAGCGCTTCGTACAAGACTTCCTCCAAAAGTGCAGCGCCAAGTCTCCACAACGAGCGGTCCCCGCAGAGGGCTGCCTCGTGCGCCAAATCCAAAACGCGATCTCACCTGCATTTCGTGCCTTCGACACGCGCGATCTCCGCAGAGGATTGCGCGGGACAAATCAAAAACGCAATCTCACCTGCACTTCGCGCCTTCGACGCGCACGATCTCCGCAGAGGGTTGCGCCGGACACGGCAGAAACGCAATCTCACCTGCATTTCGCGCCCTCGACACGCACGATCTCCGCAAAGGGTTGCGCCGGACAGAGCCAGAACGCAATCTCACCTGCATTTCGCGCCCTCGACACGCACGATCTCCGCAAAGGGTTGCGCCGGACAGAGCCAGAACGCAATCTCACCTGCATTTCGCGCCCTTGACGCGCGCGGTCTCCGCAGAGGGTTGCGTTTCGTGGTGCTCCGACGGCGCCGCCCCCGCCTTAAGAGAGAAAGAAAAGAAGAGCGAGAGGTGAAGATGTGAGATGCGCAGATGTGAAGATGTAGATGTAGATGCGCAGATGTGAAGATGTGAAGATGAGCAGAGCTGTAGATATGCAGATGTGAAGATGAGCAGAGATGTAGATGCGCAGATGTGAAGATGAGCAGAATGTAGAGATGTGCAAACGTAGAAGATGTGCAGAGATGTAGATGCGCAGATGTGAAGCTGAGCAGAGGGGTAGAGATGCAGGCAGATGTGAAGATGAGCAGAGATGTAGATGTGCATGTGAAGATGCGCAGATGTGACGATGTGATGATGTAGATGAGACGTAGTTCTACAGATGTTTTTTACGAAGAACCCTTCGCAGACGCTCTCGGGAACACATCTAATGGCAGTGGTTAGAGCCAGGTGTTGCCCAAGGAAAACTTCGACAGTATGCCTTATTGAAAAACACAAAAATGCTTGTTCAAGTAACACACCCTTTTCTACTAAGCTAGACGTTGATTACATATGTGTTGCAACCGTTTCAATGTACTGGTTGACAGAGTTTCTATTTCCAAAAGCTTTTTGTTTCGAAAAAGACTGGTTTTCAACAACAAAGAACAGAGGAACTTCGCCTGGGAGGGGACGTGGGCTCGCTCAGCTTTGCAAAGTGCGGCGAGCGTATGAAGTCAGTTGATTTCTTCAAATAACGCCTTGCAACCTTTCTCACTCGTGTTGAAGTCACTCAGCTCCGTCGCCTGATACATGCGCTGCAGGCTTTCCACGCGCAAAGTACTTGGTGTAGGCTCTCGATTCTATCTAAACATTTCTAGAACTGTCCATGCGTGATTTGGCAACACTGCTGTCAACAGAGATGTCACCAATTGAATCACAGACAGCAACCATGAAGGAATCTGATTCGTGAAAGGCCGCAGCATCACCCTGAAATTGCTTGC